TGCATCTAGTAATAAAAAAATTATCAATAATTACTTTCTTAAGATTACAGCATTCTGGCATGGCCACATGCGTACATTTATCAATTATTCTTTCAACTAATTCTTTTGTGATGGCTGATTGTAAACGAAGGAGTACATCTTTACATTTTTGAAATTCTCGTTCAGCTTCCCTACATATTCGATACATTCCTGAAGAGATGACCTTCAGTCCACCTTTATTGCTATGTTTTGTAAGAATTGTGCGATGCTCGGGTATGTCAGGTTCCAGCATGTCCTCTGAAATGGTCATAGCTGTTTTACAATTTTCACATATGCTTTTTTTTTTCAACAACTTATTATATATGGCTCCTGCGATGTAATGTATATCATTTTCTTCCACAGCTGGGGGCAAGCGACGTTTCACTGCCACTGCAGAAGAGGTAGATGGCACTACAGAATTGGAGATAGGATGCAAGACCTCCTTTCTGATAGCAACCTCTAATTCAGAAGCATCAAAGAGGCTGTGGTCACTTTCAGAACAATAATTTGGATTATTGATATCTGAAATGAACTGTGATAGGCACACTAATTTCAGTGCTCTCTTGGCTTGCAAAGCAGTAGGCTTTGCACCCGACTTTCGTCTAATCTGTGAAAAGGCATTTTCCAGCGCATCTTGTGTCAACCTGCCTGGTAAGAAAAATGTAAACCCCTCGGAAAATAATTCTTTTGAGAGTTTCACAACACTCAATGTGCTCATAATAATGCCAGTTTGAAATGGCTTCCATGCTTTCCCAAACTGAACAGTTTCAGTCACATGAATGAATTTCAATAAAATATTAAATTTCTCATCTTGATTTTTGATAGTGATGCCTTTTTTTGGATGCCTTGCAGTCATAATTGTAAACCATTCTGCTACAAGTCTCAGCCACCATGCAGAAGTTAATGCTTCTTTTGCAACTTGGTGTAAAATAACTGCTTTTTCAATAGCAGCAGCTGTTTTTTACAGAAAACAATTGCACAGCAGATGCCACATTCATCGAGGAAAAGTGTGTTGGGAAGAGATGAACTCTGTTCAAGTGTTCAAGTGTAGAGATCTCAGGGCAGCATCTGATTCTATCTCACTTGACCAGAGTCGTTTCACATACACTGAAGATACTATCCTCGATGGCAAGGCATGCTGCTGGCGAAATTCCTCTGGTAATATTATAATACTTGAAAGAAATGCATTTCTCATGTTTTTAATGAGATGTGGTACATCTGCAATACTGTGAATGAAAACATCAGGTCCTCCAATATTGTAATTTGTCTTCCTATCTGTCCTAGAGATAGATACATCCAATGACGACCACATTGCTCTGTTATTGCTTTCCATATCTGAAACAGAGGCTCTTACAGTTAAACCTATTTCTGTAGCTGCTACTACAGTTCTATGAATTAGATCTTTCATGTCAGAACCTGATGTTGAAGACCCTGTTAATTCATTGGCAACAATCTGTTTCCATGATGTTTTAAGGCCTCTTAGCAACTGCAGGTTTTCCTAACGTAACATTTTCAATGAATGACTTAGACGATGTATCAAAATCTTGATATGAAGCTATTTCCATTTCGTCAACTAAAAGGCGGCAGTTCCTATCAAGAGCATCCAATGAATGAACTTTTGTCTTGAGGAAAAAAAACAAATTTTCTAAAATGCCGAAATTTATTTTTATTTCCCTAATCCTCCTGTTCAAGGTACTGTACGATGGTGCTGGATATCCAGTACTTCTGAGGTAATTATATCCATGTTTGCCCAAAGCAAATCGCATCTTCAGTCCTTTTATAATGGACTTTTCTGACCAGTTCCTTTTTGACTGCACAGCAAGGGCTCCTACTTGCTCATCGGACAAAAAAATGATGTCAATTTTGCATCTTTTTCTTGAAGCTGTTGCTCAAGGAATTCTATTTTTTTTTTTAACAACTCTTCATTTGAAGCAGGTAGAGTTTCCTAAATTCAAAAAGAAATAGTAAACATGTTATGCTGTGATTATTTTTTTAAACAATGGTTGGATGAATTAATATATTTGTAATAACAATGATTTTTTCAACAATTTTTTTGGAGAATATTAAATAATTTACCACTTCAGTATTTGGCTTAGGACATCTTACTTCTCTTATCCTCTTGTCAGTTACAGATGGTGGTGGATTTGGAATGCTAAAGAGTGTTTTCTTAGTTTTTTCTATCTTTGCATAGTGACTCAAATTGAGATACCTCAAAATGATCCTGTAAATACATAAAGTAATAAAAAAAGTATACAAAATAAATAAAAGTACAAAAAACAAACCACACAGTGAGGTTGTGCCAAAGGCAGCAAGCATGAACTGTAAGTAAGTATAGGCAATAAATAAATATGCAGGTAATTAAATTAGGCCCAGTATTATAAAAAACTGAAACAATAAACAAACCATGTCTAACATATCAGCAGCAGCATCTTGTAAGCTTGGGCAGAATTTAATTATCCAATATTTATTTTTTGCCTATAATTTAAAGTGTTCTTTAGAACATTATCCAAAAATTAAATGAAGTAGTGTTTTGCTATAACATTAAAAACAACTAAAATAAAACTTTATATTTCTTGCTATAGTGCTCTTACAATAGATAAGAAAATAAGAGTTCACTTACACCCAACTTTTAAGATACTAGGCCGATAAATACATTTATAATTAGAGCAGACTATGATTCTTGTTATAATTGTAGTAATGTTTATTGCTCTAATTGAAATATTTAATTTTTAATTCTCTAATCATTCAAAACATAGCCCTAATTTCGGAGCACAGTGCCAACATGCATTTTAAAAAGCATCAAGGCCAGTTTAAACGACAATTTTTTAAATTACATCGGCACAGACATATCCAATTCAAGTTATTAAAAACTCTAGAACGTAGTTCAGTAGCTTTCTGAATTTGTAGGCAATTTTTTATTTAGAGATGACAACACAAAATAACGCTTCAGAAAATATTATTTATCATGTATAAAAATCTGTTTTGTAACAGATCAGTAATTGTTATTCATGAAAGGATTTTGGCTTGGCCTTTGAAATTCATCATTACAGGCAGATTTATTTGATTGTTATGCATGCATTAAAACACTACACATGCATTAAAAACACTACACAATTATTTTTGAAAAATACACATGCAGTTTCACAAGTTTTCTGTGCTTATTTGAATGTTCTGCATTCATTTCTAAATCTTTACTCTTATTATCTTTTTAAAATTGCCAAATTGTATAATACTGTGATTATAAATATATGGTACTTGCAATTATTGAAGTCAGATTATATATATTTTGTCTCATACTATTCAATTTATTCTATTGACTTCAGATGTCAATGTCAAAATTCTGGAAGTTATTTTAACCAAGAAACATAGTAGTGGGCACCGTGCATAAACAACTCATCTAACTTTTTAACAATAGTGATTATAAAATAAAGAAAAAAATTATATATCATTCCAACGATATTGCAACTATAGTATAATGTTACATATATCTTTAGCAAACATTCAGATTTTATCTTGACTTTCCAAATTATTATTTATTTTTTAATAAATTTCAATATGCTAATGATTTTCATGTTACATTAGTATAAATTCCACAATTAGCACAGGAAAACAAAATCTGCGCTTTATATTAGAAGAGAAATTTCTTTTCCACATTCAAATTCAGTATTTCAACATTGGCGATGTTTGGCGACGGGTACATTAACCCTAGACTAATTTAATTATAGCTATTATTACAGAAATTAGCAGATACTCAGGTTATTGTACACAAGAATTTCACTTTACTTGCACATTATAAACATCAGAGAAGATATAAACTCTAAATGAAGGCGTAATTAACATTACTAAGCAAAGTTCAGCGCCTGGACCAGGTTTCCAATTGTCTCTTCGGCAATTATTTACCCATATTTTTCTTCTTTCTTCATTTTTAGGAAATTTTACCAATGTATGACCTTTCCGTGAATGATTTGAACAATTAATAGCTGCACATCCGCCCATTTTACACAAAAAAAAACACAAAAAATTGTTGCACCGTAACTACACAGCCGCCATTAAATCTCCCACTTGGGATCGCGAATGCCTGATGATTCAGCCTGGTATATAGGAGCCTTATTCAGTAGTCGTTCTTATCAGAATTCCATCTCGGAGGCCCCCCTTTCGGTTAGGAATTTTAGAGGGAAAAATGGGGATCTCTTACATCGATGGAAGATGTGATTTTTGTAATACGATCCCGATTTTTTTTTTCAGGCTCAATTAGAATATGGCAAAATAAATACAGTGTGACGGAATTTGTTAAACTTGTACTATAATAAATACAACGGTTAAATTAATAAATTAATTTTTATTTAATAATATTAAGAAAAATAAACTGCATAATTTATTTTTCTGAAATGCTCTCACAATGGTATGATTATGATTTTGTCAATACTTTTTTGAAATATAACATGAGTTTCTTGGTAACGGTAATAGTTAATGTTACTTTAGTTAAAATTATATACACTCTGTGATGATATATGTCTTTCTAGTTAGGTCTCAAGATAGGGCATACACATACATGTAGGAATCATTTATTTTTTTTTTAACTTAGCTAAAGCTTGCTGCTTAAGACACTAATTTTTGCAAATGAATCCTTTTAACTACATCATGTGTACAACGATATAGGATATTTTCTATTCTTTCCTTTTCTTTCTATAAGCCCTTTTTTCCCCCCTCTATTATTTTTGGACCATATTTTAAATTTATTTTGTCCATTTTTTCTGGCCTTTGAACTTTACAAAAATGTACGAAGATTCTTTTTACTCTGTTCAAATACGAAATCTGTCTGTCTGTCCTCAAATACGAAATCTGTTTGTCTGTCTGTCCGTACTTGCTTTGCAGACAAGTTTTATTTTCCGCTTTTGAGCAGAAAGACTTAGCGAATGCAAAACAAGACAATTTTTGTTTCTCCGTCTCATTCGGGCGATATTTCGCCAAATGTGATTCTCTCTTCAAGCAGCTCGACCAATTACAGCACGAACAGGTGCTTGAGTTTCCTACATTTAATAACATGGGGTTCATAGGCTATTCAGATGTATCTTGCAGGTTGTTTACGTAATTTTTCAATCGTATTACCGGCGTTATTCGAGTGTGCTTGCGAAGTTGTCCCGAATGGCGGGCCTTTGAAACGATAAATTTATTGAGAATCGTTAAAACTGCTACAACAGGATGGCTAAAAGTTTATTTGTAACATATCTTCTATGGCTTTTCGGAGGATTGTTCGGACTTCATCATTTTTATTTGGGAAGAGACTATCAAGCTTTAATTTGGTGGATGTTTGCAGGTGGATATTTTGGAGCTGGCTGGTTCAGAGATCTGTGGAGAATTCCTGAGTATGTGAAAGACGCTAATGAAGATCCTGAATATTTAGCAGAATTGGCTGAAAAAATGCGAAAGCATGATAAACCTCCAACAGGGTCCGTTCGTTATTTTGGGCAGATAATGGTCGCTGATGCCTTTGGTTATTTAATTCTTGGAGCTGTTCCTAGAGAATTAGTACCTGAAAACTTTACGCGTATAATCTTTGCATTTTTGATACCTCTGTCTTCAGCCCTTGGTATGTAATGTTTCCACATATTTTTGAAATATTGTGCTCGTTAATGCATAAATTAACATTTGCATAGGCATGCGTGTATGCAGTTTTGAAAAGAAAAGTGTTCCGTATAGTAAATCGAAATATCTTCAGTTATGTTAAATTTAGCCTGTAGTTATAAGTGTAGTATTAGTTGCTTATTAGGCACTTAATTAGCTTCTATAAATAATTGAAAAAAGGTTGTTGCTAAAATTTCTTACTTGTTTTGTTAATTGTCAGCAAGGTAGCGTTTAAATTTTTTTCTTGTATTTTGCTTCAAGTCTCTAAAATTACATTTTCTTCCTCTCTTGCAGTTGAACAAATGTATCAGTTTAATATATTTTTCATAGAGGTTCAATTTCTAAGCATACATGTAAATTTATCTGTAATAATTGAGTGAAGTCAGTTTTTATTTAGTCTTGATTTCATCAGAGCAGTGCCTTTTCATTCATAATCATTTCTAAATAAAAGTTCATTTTACAAGTTATTAATGGTATGCTTAATTTTGAAATGCTGGTGCAATTATTAGTAATTTCAATAAAATTGCTTAGAATGTAACTGATATTGAGAGAGATATCTTGAGTTTAAAGTTCATGGAACATTGTTTTTATATGTTTTAAAATATTTACTTCATTATTTTGCATCTGACTCTGTTTCATACCTGAGGATTTTCTGTTTATTTGTTAGAAGCATTAAACATTGAATATAATGGATAGCTGAAATATAAAATTATGTTTAAAAATGTTATTTTATGCGTATGAAAATTTCATACCCAAATAACATAGTTTAAAACAGTGAAATATATGTTTAGACTTGCAGGTTTATGTTACATACATGCATTAGACATGTATGTAATTCAAATTAATTTTTTCCATTTCTGTTGCAAAAGATTTTCATGATTATATTTCTACCGTGTACAAATGTATTTGCTGTGATTCAGTTGGCTCACACTTGTTCAATAGCACCTATTAATGTAATTTTTTTAAATTTAATTGTAATATTTAGCCAATTTATTGCTTCTTAGTAGTTAATTTTCATCCCTTTATGAGGTAACAAATTGGTTCTTTAAATTTTTTAATCCTACTCCCCTTATTTAAAGTGATGATTACATATAATTTCTAACTATAATCTTATCACTTAATATTTCTTCTGCATTGATAAAAATCATATTCTCGCAAAGAATGTACAGAACAGGGGCTCAGAATATGTAGTGTACAAGTTACTTGGCGACGCAAAACATAGTACAGAGTCTGAGATCTGAACTCGTGAGGACTTTGGCAATTCCATATTTGGATTTTTTTTGCACATATTAGGTCATCAGTTTAAATCTAGTAAGATGACTGGTAAAATCCTAGTATACAGTGCAGCCTTGGCGCGATTTTGAAAATTATCGCCAACACCAAAATGACCCATTTAACTACTCATCGTATATGTCCCGTTTACTACTCGTCATAAAGTAGCCAAATTCCTTGTGTACCGGATACTAGGATTAAACTAGATGACTTGTGGAAATTATAAAACTGAAATTTGATATGGTGATTTATGAAATAACAAAGCATTTATAATCTTAAAGGAATCAAAATTTACAAAAAAATGCTCTATATTTATTTGTGTACTTTATTAAGCATTTCTTTCAATATAAGTTGTCTGAGTTGCTTCATTTTTTAGGCTAATACTTTCTCTTTAATTCTATATATATATAGACATAATTTCCTGTTCAGTTGCAAAGTTCCATACTTTAAGTGCTCTGATAGTCTTGTCGAGAATTCCCACTAAATTCGCAATCAAAATTTTTTTTGTTCTCAATAACGTCTCTGTCACTTCCTTCACTATTAGTAATGATATTTACTGGATTTAGAACCATACTACAGATTTCACCATTTGTTAGTTGATTGATGATTGGAGCATTATCATTGTAATGAAAAACTTGTTACAGCATCTTCATTTATTACTTCTCCGCATTTCTTCACAAATTCCTTTAATCTGAAAACTTTGCCTTTTATTTGCGATTTCCAAAATCCTTCAAATTCATGGTTATCACCATAAGCTAGTGATTAGCTTCCACTGTTATATATTGGCGATGTAGTATGAGATTGACGACTAGAGATGTGTTGTTTACCTAATTTTTCTTTCTTATCACTTACTAAGGAAGTCCCAAATAAATAAATACAGATGATTTGTTTTCGGATAAAGCATATCCGAAAACAAATCATCTGTTGTTTATTCAAAAAGCTCAAAATGTAATCTTTTGGTCTACAAATGTCATTTTCAAAATCAGGGGCGTAGCTAGAGGGGAGGCAAGGGGGGTCATCTGTCCCCGGGCACTGAATCCAAGGGGCACCAAACTGATGTTACAACATTTTAGAATTAAATGTTTTCCATTCTTGGCAAGCAGTAGGAGGTGTGAAATCTTCAGTTGTCCCTCGGCGCTGAAAACCCTAGCTATGACTCTGTTCAAAATTTATCTTTTTTGCAAATGGAAAGAAATTTTTGTTAATTTTCTCCTTGTCAACACACTCAGTAATTCACAGTGCAGTTAGCTGTAATCATTGCTATGTGTAATATGAACATAAAAATTTACCATCCTGTTTAGTATTCAATTGCTAATTTTTTAGACATTGTTGTACGAGTCATTTCTCAAGCTGCTATGGAGTGATGAAAGCAAAAATAACAATGATTGCTAGGTTGGCATCATGGATATAAGTTATTCAGTAAGTCTGAAATTAATGATTTTTTGATGTAGCATGTTTTGGTTTGAGATATGTGCCAAGCGAAAAGGCAGCTACATAGTTAAAGTATTGATCATACAGATTTATGTTAGTAAAGGATTTTCTTCAGTGTGGAGGTATTTTATTTAGTGCCGGAGTAAAATTAAGAATTAGGACTCTGACATGCTTTATTATTCAAAAATATCTAATGTGCATGCTTAAAGCATCCAAAACAATTTTTAAAAAAGTGTTGCTGGTGGTCCAGAGGTTTAGATTTATCTATCTAGGTATTGGATGTCTAGATTTCAGATTTGGTACTATATATATTAGCATCATTTTATCAAGCTACGATACTCGATTATAAAACTTACAAAGTCACTAAAAACATGTTAGTTTATATATTATTCTACAGAAAAAAAAAAAGCTTGCTTTTTTTTTTTTTTTTTTTTTTTTTGTAACTAAAAATTACATGCAACTTAATATTTTGATCAAATTTGTGTAGTATTATTTGTAAAGATGTTTTGATAGTTTATTTCAGAATACAGCAGTAAGTTTTAAGTAATACTACTAGGCATAGAATAAGTTTTAAAAATGAAACTTATGACAATGTAATTAAATATTTTAAGAACATATACTTACCCCCCTCCCCTCTTCTGAGTAGAATCTAGGAAATTCATTATTTGAAAGGTACTGATTTTTTTGTAGTTTGTTCCTATCCTATGTATTCTTTTGTTTCATATCATACTTTTAAGATAAGTTTTTTTGTATCATTTAATAGTTTCTGCTCCAATCCTATGCATTATTTTTTTCCCCCACATCATACTTTAGATTGTTAAGATAGGGGGAAAATTTTTTTTTACCAATGAATTGGAAATAAAATAATAATAATAAAAAAAATCGTAACATTAACAGAACATATTAAATTCTAATATCGAAAAAGGAAATGTGGAGGAAATTTAATACATGCTTTAAGTATTTAATATAATACTTCACATTCTGGATGTATTATTTATATGCAAAAGAGATTAACAAATAACATTTGGATAATATTTACATTTGTGTAATTTTCCTTTGATTAAAGAAAAGATTGGAGTGTCCATATTATTCATTTGTTCCAGTATTTGTTGTTGTTTGTTTCGTTTTTCCTGAGGTTCAGGGCCTTTGATGCCTACTAAGTCAGATGCTTTTTTGTTCTGCCCCCTTGTGACATATATTAAATGTTTGGGTTTTTGCATTTATATGGAATGATTCTTTGCATTTTTTTATATTGAGCATGTTGATTTCTTACATCTGTATGTCCCAAATATTTTACGCAAGTGCTTATTTAAGTATTAAATAACATGCTTCATGATAAAATGAACGTTGTCATTGTTTATAAGAACAAAAACAATTACTATATAAATTTGATGAACCTTGAAATAAACTTAAATTTTTAACCAGTTCAGTTTTTAGGCATGTTTGTTTATTGATTTTAGATATTATTAGCATGGTTCATTTGTATTTTTAATCATTGAAAACTGATTATTTTATAGTTTAACTGATAAAACTGAATTTGCTGAATTTATTAGAAATACGTATAGGTATTTAATTCTTAGGACAAAGAGGATAGTTTATATAAATATAATAGAATTAATTTAATTCCAGTATTGAATAGAATTGATTCGTTTAATGTGCTATACTTTTGCAAAAGCAGGCTATTGTTATGTTCACTATACAGGGAGAGAAATCTGTTTCTTGATGTTTTAAAAGTACATGAATAACCATGTATGAAATATGCTAGCATCTTTATTTATAATTTATGTAAGCTTAATGTTTCATTCATGATGTTAATGTTTTATATCTCGTTAAATTAATGACGGCTGAGGCATATTTATTTATGCACCACTTCTGGTTTCTCAGTTTCAGTTCTTTCAAAATTAGTTGTCTGACCCATCTGCATTAAAGCTGAATTGTAATATGCTGAATTCTTGGTAGTGCTTCTTTTATGATGCCTGAGTAGAACAGCAAATGAAATCATTTGAGTGTGTTCCAGTATCAGTTTAAATAGCCTTAAAACTTTTTATTCAGAATTACACTTTTTTTGTTTTGCTGTTAACTCATCCTTGAAGCATAATGGTTTTGAGATGTGTTTTTTTTTTTTTTTTTTTTTTTTTTTTTTTTTTAATGAGCATAGTGCTTATTACTTTTTGTACTTATTACTTGTATTTTAATTACTTTTTTGTTGTCTAAAGATAAATTATATGAAACTTGTATCTGTCTCAAAATGAAAAGCTGCTT